GAAAACAAGCGAAATTTGTTATCAGCTGCCGAATAACTCCATTTGATCTCCATTTCCCTACAAAAATTGCAAGCTTGGTCAAGCATGCATGGTTGTAGTGTTATTAGTATTAGTTCAACGCGTTCAAGAACAGACTAGATAAAGCTATGGAAAAATATATGTTCAGATTTGAAATGCCTAGCTCCTTATCGAACCTGGTGGAAATCTAGTAGCTATTTCAAACTATCGTCAGTCTTGAAAAGATCCGGTCAAATGACACGAGTTTAGATCTATGAACAAGGCACGAAAAGGAAAAGAATCGGCGACAGGCAACATCAGGCCTACACTTCAGCGCCGATATCGCTATGTTATGCTATGTTATGTCTATACCTGTCTCTAATTGATACACTTTTTAGTTGAGTTGGTCTCAGCTAATAAGTAAGATAATTTATTCAAGCCTGAGGCCGTGTGCATTGTACAGTGTACATAATATTTATGTGGTCACGTCGTCACGATCATTATGGGCGAAATGTTGCGTAAGATGCTAAATGAGGAAGTGATCTTCTCTGTAGAATCGCTCCACATTTTCATAATTCCTATATGTTATTTGTTCAAAAATATGATTTTGGAAATGTTAAATTAGACGCAGTCACGGATATTGTTGTCAAAATGTAACAATTAAGCGAGCGCCACGCATTTTTTTTCTAAGTGTGGATTTCTGTGCCATTCGCGATGAATTTGTACTATGAGACCGACGAACTATGATGCAGAAATTATGAATAACTTTTGCTATAATAAATCATCAAAGTCTAGAAAAAAAAATGAGAATAAATGTTGTTAATTTAAAATTCTAACAATAAACAAATGAATGCGATTTTTATGGGGAATCTGTTGTGCCAGTCCTTATTTAACTTCCTGATTTTTTGTTCGCAATTTTGTGTGTGTGTGTTTTTCTTTGTCATAAAAAGTGGTCACGATTATTGCCGACATTGATGAACTATATACGGTTGACCACGGCTTTGATACATTTTAACGCCGTTCTGCGCATCTTCTCTGTGACGTCACATGAATCGTATAAACTTGAAAAAATGGCGTGTGGGTCATCAAACTGGTGCGAAAAATTTCTGCTTCGAACTAATATTAAAAAAATCCCGTTTCAAATTTTTTAAAACTTTATCCATATTTGCAACAAGACTTGTTCTTAACCAAACCAGCAAAATAAACTAATTCAGTCGTATAGGGAAAAATAATCAATGGAAAATAAAATTTCCGAGGATGACCTGTCAACATCATGTGCGCTAATGGCTGCCACTTCTCTCAGCATCAGTTTGATGTTCTGAGAAAAGGAAGCCCTAACAAATTCCGTTCCCGCCGGATAAGTAGATTTTTGCATCTCGCTGATTGATATTATCCATTGTTTTTACCATTTAATGCATCTCATCTAAATTTCAAGTCGATATAATATGATTAACTCTTTTATTGTGTCGCCATTTTATCTAGATTGTGAACTGGAAAGTAAACCAGCATCAAAGTGAGAAGTAAAAACGGCAAAAGTCACAGCGGTACACGAGTAATAGCTTGACGAAAACGTGAAATATTATAGGGGCACTTCACTTTATGTGACGTTCAGACTAATAACCGCAATTAACAGCCACTAGACGTCAGTACACTCGGTTGTTAGTATTCTCTTTCATTTATTTCCTTGTCGCACGAAATAATTGCAGTTTGACATCGGTAACACCTTATGCAGGACTAGTTGACACTATGAACACCTTTTCACAGGAGTCAATGAGGTAGAATCTTTATAGAGTTATAATAGAAGCAACTTTTGAATTTTTATAATATATAGAGTTATAATTAAAGCCACTTTTTGAAGAGTTTACGAGCAATATTTAAATTTTAAGCTACCCGAGATGTCACAGGTGGAACAATACACAGCGTCCACAAACTTGAGATGCGCGTGGGTTAATCTTGTATTAGTTCAACCTTTTTAAGCTTATTTATGCTTCTAAAGAGATGTATATGGTTTCAAATATCCAAAAAAAGTATGCACTACGAACACTTTTGCTTCCAACACTATTAGGGGGCGAGTGGTAATATTTTTGTGCTCTAATATAAAGTGGGTGGTTAAATTTGCACATGAGCAGTTGGTTTTAACATAAGCGAGGGAGCTGTTATAGCGAATGTGATGTTGTGCTGTAAACACACTAAAAATTGTAACGTTGATATTTCAATCTTATATTTAGGTAAAATGTTGATATTACTGGTAGTAGTGAATTAATTGACTTCGTTGTTTAAAAAAAATATAAATATCGAAGACAATAATAGTCACTGACTTGATTTTTCTCAATTTCCGGAATCATAACAATCTCCGCCCTGCCCGATCGATGTTTTGTTCGCCACAGGTGGTATACTCATCGGTACTGTCATTTATTTTATTTTTTAGTAAATTTTAATTTCTGTTGTATTCAATGCACTTCTAATGGAAGTTTTATCTTGCGATCATACGGATAGTGGCAAATAATTTTAGTATTACAATAACAAATTATAGAAGAGCCGAGTTACCAAGTAGGTACCTAATCCAAGGCGAGGGCAATAGCCAGGGGCTGCCAGGCAATAGGGAATAGGGATGCCTCCCTCCCCTGAGGTGAGCCGTGAGGAGTGGGGACTAGGGCACTGGGCTAATATGGGACTCGGGAGTATGGGTATGGGACCCCCTAAAAACACATTTACAGTAGAACCTTGGTTAGCAAAGGCTCCTCCAGCTCCAAGGCTCCAGTTAATGTAAAATCAATTAACAACAAAGAATATTTATTTAAATTATTACATTTAATGATTTACCTTGTTCATCACAAAATTATTCATAGAATATTATAGAAAGAATTATGCACTGGGCAACATAGAACATAGTGACAAACCAGAGATTTTTAGAATCAGTTCATTTTAAATTGGTATTACTGCAGATTAACTACATCCAAAAAAAAGGGTGTTTTTTTTTTTGAATTATATGTTTTTTGGGGTGTAGATTACGAATCTGAAATCCATTTTTGGCGGTCGGCATCGGAAAACCGATTTTTTTCCGACCCAAAAATCGCGCTAAAAATGCCTAAAATTGACCTAAAGCACTATATGCAATATTCTCTTTGTACATTCATCGGCATGTCAGTTGTATTTTAAAATCCCATAATAAAACAGAACACTTCTGGCAACTCTTTACTTACACCATATTAGACCAATTCAGCTTCACTTAAGTGGGTTACGAGTTAATCCCCCCGCGGCATACACGGGAACATAGTTACGATCGTAGCGTGTAGATCAATACGGCGCATCGGCCATATCGATCGTAAATCGCGATTTATGGAGAAGCATAATTGGCGACCGGCGTCCAGTGGTGTCCAGTGGCATCCACCTCGGCGTCTTTGGTGCATAAAATCGGCGTCCTCGACCTATGTTGTGCCATGCTCTACAGTCTGGCTGGTATCCATGATACTTTTCTGGTCTACTTATAGGACTCAAAAATGAACTTGAGGGAGAGTCTAAAAAAAACTCTGCTTTGCCACTATGACGTAGAATGATAAATAATTACTGTCAAGCAGGGCAATAAGAGACAGGCAGGGAAATTAAAACAGTGAACAGTCCTCTGGGCTCTGACCTATCATAGAAATGCTGTTGCAGCTAAACAAATTGAAATATTGCTAAACTAAAAATAGTGGCATAGTGCATAGGCTATATATGCACAAAATCTCTTGTCTTGCCACCACACTTGACTAGGACTCTAGAGGTGCCCTGCTCACTAGAACAGAGGACCAGACCGTCTACTCACAGTTTAAGCTTTGCAATAATATGGTGCAAAAAGCCTGCCTGAGGGCCACTGTGCAGAAAGTGGATGAATATTGCAAGATCTTTGGTGACGCTTCAGTAGCAAAATTTTTGCCTTCAGAAGATCTTGCCGACACATTTAGATTGAAATTCTTGCATTTAATATATTTCTCAGTCTTTGGCCAACTATTTAAAAAAAAGTAAGGTTTCCGGTATGTTGAATGGATTAGGATGCAGCAAAGCTTGTCCAGAAATCAGTTGCGATGAGTTCCCGCCAAAAAATGTAAACAACGTTTTTTCGATTGCACAGTTGCGGTCACATTAGAGCGGTCAGACTACATTATCACATGTTCAGTTGACACTTGCTGTACAATTGGACTGTTTCTAGGGTAAAATTAGTCATTTGGGGTAACACGTGCATGCAACCTTGTAATTAAGTTTGTGGCTTGTAAGTAGTTTTTCATTACGTACTCAGCATAAATGGCTTTTCATTAAAATTTACCCAGCAACACATCTTAAAAATGGTCGGCGACGCTTTGGGCTTAAAAACCCATATATTAGCGACGCTGCTTCCACCTTCTGCACCCTGGCCTGAGGGGAGTGTCACTTCCACCTCACACTCTAAAGTTCAAGATTTTTCCTGTCTATGCAGCATAAAGCAAGTTGAGAAATCAAACATTTAATATGTTGTACTACCTCTAAAAAATCCCTAAAAAAGTGTTGAAAATAAAATTTTGGAAAAGTGTGTCTGCTAAGCCGCTAAGGTCTGTAGCAAAAAGAAATAGCCTATTTAGGTACTGTATTAAAAAGTTTTACTTACATAAAAGTGGCACACAGGTGTTGGCTTAAAAACATGATTAACAGAATTTGCATACTACTACTGAAATCTCTTGTAATAATCAACTGCAATATTTAATCATTTCATTTTTCTCTTAGCTTTTGCATTTTTTTTTAATATTTTATAGGTTATTCGAATTTACAGATAAAGGTGTATACATACAGTACGTATATACAAATCTTGGGTTTACATCTACTCCTTGCAAAAAGGTTTTGCATGAAATTATCTAAACTGGCTCCCAGTCCAAAAAATGTACCTACCCAAAAACTAAGATTGATATTTGTGCAGTTGTATAACTATTATTTTATCATTTATATATCTCAAAAAGGTCCTAATCTTTTTCAGGTCTCTCAAGGATCATAAAATTATATGTAAAAATAGAAAACAAAAATGACAGTTCTATCAATTTTTTCCTGGAATAAGTTCATTCTAAGATGGGGTTGCTATTGCTCAACGTATGCTCCATTTGGTACCGGTATTAGCTCACTAAATACTGCATCACTGTCTACTTATTATCAGCCTCTAAAACACCCTTGCAAGAAAAAATTTTCTCACAATGATTGTGTTTTAGAGAATTTTCCTAAAAGCAATACCTCCTACTTTGGTTGCTTTGCAAAAAGTAACACATGTGAAAAATTTTCTGAAAATGAATGTTTATCTATACCACATATTTGGAATGATGCTGTATATTTGAGGCACAGCAAATCAGCACACAATTTGTTCAGATCTTCATGCTTGCTTCACGCTTATGGCATTCCTCCAAGAAGTAAGTATTTTCACAACCTCTTCATTTTTTTGCCATTTTCCTGCTGCCAGGTCAATAGTCATGACAGTGTTTTAATTTATTTCCTGCAATTATTTATAGTTTTACAGTGAAATGAGTGAAAATATATTTTGCCCTATTCTCTGTTTCTGATGGAGTCATTGTTTTGCAGTTCAGATTCGTCACTTTAAATCCCCAGCAAGCAACACTCCAGCTTCTAACATTGAAGCCAAGTCAGTGCTGACTCCTTCCACAGCTTCTCCCACTCGTCCACAACCTAGAAGCATTAAACGATTACTTGATTTAGCAGCTCCAGAGTTCTGGAGTTTATCTGGTGAGATTTCAGCATCAATATTTATTTTGCCTAAAAAAATTTATTTGGTGTTTCTGTTAAACTCATGATAAGACTTATTTATTTTATGTCAATGTTTTGTTGATAAAAATTTTGAATTATTTGTTTACGGTAATTATGTTTTGAAGATCAATTTAATATAATCATGATTTTTAATAATATTTCTTCATATTTATTTGCAGGTGGCATAGCATTAATGTGTGTGTCAAGTGCTGTGACCATGTCAGTGCCTTTCATCATAGGAACGCTAATTGACACCATCTATTCCACTGGTGGTGCTGCCTCGAGCCTATTTAATGTTATTGACACAATCACAAGCTCTTCTGGTAGCTCTGGTGAAACTCAAGACATCTCAATTACCAATAATTTAAATATTTCGGAAACTGCAGCAGATTCTACAAAATCTTCCAGTATGATGGAAGGAAATGTTAGCAAAATGCCAGTGAGCTTGGAAAAAGTTTGTGCTGTGCTGGCTGGTGTTTTTGTGATAGGAGGAGCAGCAAACTGTGGTCGTGTCTATCTTATGACCACTGCAGGTGAGCTTAGGAAACAACCTTGTCATGCATTTTTATTGGAATAATACATTAAACTGTTCATATTGTATCTAAGCCATATTGTTGTTACATGACGAAATGTCACAAATGAATCTTTTATTGAAATAAATTGTATTCATTTTGATTTTTCACCTAATCTGTTTACTATCTATCATTGTCAAGTGTTTTATTTATTGATGTTTGGGTACACTTTTTAGTTCACATACTGTCTTGTGAGCCCAAAGGTTTTCACTTGCATTTTCTGTGAAGTTATCTTTTGCCTCCTGCACCAATCTCATTGGAATTTATGTTAGTTTGTTTCGTAGATAATTCTATTTGGTAACATTCATATTCATTCTGTACAAAATTACCTTTCTCAATTTCAATTTTACTCTAAATCTCAGGTCAGCGCATCAGCCAGAGTCTGCGTTCAAATGTTTTTAGCTCACTTTTACGACAAGAGACAGCATTTTTTGATAGGTGAGAATCTAGATCTTGAAAAAATTAGACTCTGATTACAAATGCTTTTTTAATATTTGTGTATTATTGATTGTTTAATTGCAGTTTTTCTTAATTATTTATAATACAGGGTTGGCGATTTTTTTGATTTTTTTTTTTAAATCAAAAAAATCAAAAATCAATGATTTTTTTGATTTTTCCATGATTTTTTTTTATTTATTTGATTTTTTTGATTTTTTCAACTTTTTTGTCTTTTTGAAGTGGTATTTTTTATGTTGCAATTAGCCTAACTAACAATAACAGTATATGGATCATAATGGATGGCTAAAAAGGGCACTTATTGCCTTCAATAATGGCCAACAGGCCAAGGTAGTGTTTACCACTTAGGGATTTCTGGGTACACAATTATTGGTAAGTCTATTCATTAGCTTTGTAAAGTTTGTATGGAGCAAGGTAANGTTACATCAAATGTGGCTGATGGTGTGAGGTCCACTGTGATGACCATCACTGCCGTGTCCATGATGGTGAGTCATGTTACATCAAATGTGGCTGATGGTGTGAGGTCCACTGTGATGACCATCACCGCTGTGTCCATGATGGTGAGTCATGTTACATCAAATGTGGCTGATGGTGTGAGGTCCACTGTGATGACCATCACTGCGGTGTCCATGATGGTGAGTTATGTTACATCTAATGTGGCTGATGGTGTGAGGTCCACTGTGATGATGATGATCACTGCGGTGTCCATGATGGTGAGTTACGTTACATCGAATGTAGCTGATGGTGTGATGATCAAATGTTGCTTATGATAGTTGTGATAGGTAGGTACGTAATTATAATGTATATTTTATGTACAGGTGTACACGTCTCCTGAACTCTCTCTGTTCGGCTTGTCGGTGGTGCCGCCAGTGGCTCTGCTGGCCGCCTACCACGGCAGGAAGCTCCGTGCTACGGCTACGGCCGTACAGGTAAATGATATCAAATCTTTATTATCTATTCCAGTATATTTAAGTGTTAAAGTTTTAAGTTCCGGTAATAAGTGTTAGAGTTTTAAGTCAAGAATATATCCAAGGTAAACTGAGACCGGCGACGGCCGTACAGATAGATGCCATTCAGTTCTTTGTCTTCCATAATTTTAGTAGAGACCAAAAAGTCTGTTGGAGTTTCCAGTCTGGAACAAAAGTTATATTCGTTATCTTCTATCTGATTAAAAAGTAAAGTTTATACATGTATCTAAGGTAATTTGATAAATATTGCGATTGAATTTGTTGAGATTTTCACTTCGTGCTCCGTTTAAAAAACGACCTAATTTATGATTTTTGTATTTGAATTTTACTAAAGAGATGCCAGAAACTGATACCATAATACACATTAAAGATAAAGTTCTGACACTCTTCATGTGAACGCCAAGTCTATTCAATTCCTACCTACAGCACCTCTACATTGAATGGGAAAATAGTAAAATTGGATTACTAAATCAACAATCAATACTTCAAGAATTAGTTCTTCATTTTCAACACAGGAACAACGTAACGACTTACTTGTTCGAACACAACACAGTAACAAATTAGTTGTTCATTTTACAACGCACTTCGAAATTTTAGACAAATTTATGCCTCAAACACATGAACAAATTAGCTGTTCATTTTACAACTCGCACCGAAAATTTTATACAAATTTACGACTCAAGATAAGATCGCACAATTATTAAGTGTAATTTACAACCCAGGAGAAGCTGGCAACATGCACACAGCACGCCGAGGAGCGCCTAAGCAACGTGCGCACAGTGCGCGTGTTTGCGCAGGAGGAGCGCGAGATGCGTGCGCATGACCAGCTCCTGCAGGGCGCGCTCAGCGTCATGTACAGCGAGGCTAAGATGCGCGCTGCCTTCTTCGGTCTGGTGCGTATATTTCCATGCAGTGCCAGGCTTATATTGCTTAATATTATATAGTAACTAAGATATACGTGAGTACAAAGACATGGTAATGAAGATATAATAAAAAGATGTAGTAATTAAGATGTAATAACAAAGATATATAGTAAGGGAGATATAATATAAAATATATAGTGATGAAGATGTAATAACAAAAATATACTGAGGTACAAAGATATATTAAGTAAGATATAATTAAATAAATACGTAATTTATAGTGTTCAATTAAGACATTGGTTGTACCTACATTTACGAATTTATTTACTGTACCATCACAATTTTTTATTCAATTCAAGGATGTACGACATATTTGTATAACTGAAACATAAGTTATGGCTTTCTTTGAGAAATTTCTTCATCAGGGTAATGATGATGATGCTCCGCATTTTCTTCACCGTGTATATATTATGGTTGACAGATCTTTGATGAGAAATGAAATAGTTCTTATTGACCGCAAAATTTAATATTAATTAACAAGTTATCATTAGCCGTCACAGTTTTATGCGAATGCAATATTCTCTATTATCCGTGCCAGTTTAATATATACGTAATAATTTATATTAAGCATAGTTGTTGTGTCACAGACAGGCTTGACAGGCAACATGATCGTCCTGTCGGTGCTGTACAAAGGAAGCTCCCTGGTGGCGTCCGGGGTGTTGTCGGTGGGCAGCCTGTCCGCATTCCTCATGTATGCCGGATACGTCGGACTATCCGTGTCTGGTACTAATACTTTACACCAGTGTCTGGTACAAAAACTTTACACCAGTGTCTGGTACAAATACTTTACACCAGTGTCTGGTACAAATACTTTACACCAGTGTCTGGTACAAATACTTTACACCAGTGTCTGCTACAAATACTTTACACCAGTGTCTGCTACAAATACAAATACTTGACTAAACTGCAATTTTCTTTGAAATAAATCTCTAGAATTTCCTTAAGTTTTGTGAAAGATTTTCATCGTTGTGCATCACGCCAATTTTTTTATGAGTCTGAGTCAAGCGTGTTGTTTATATTTCAGGTTTGACATCGGCTTACTCAGAGCTGAGTAAAGGTGCAGGGGCGGCGGACAGACTTCTGGAACTGATGGACAGACAACCGCTCATGCCCTACCAGGGAGGTGTGAGGCATGAGTGCTGGGAGGCATGAACGCTGTGGCTGTGAGCCATGAACGCTGTAGCTGTGAGGCATGAACGCTGTAGCTGTGAGGCATGAACGCTGTAGCTGTGAGGCATGAACGCTGTAGTTGTCAGGCATGAGTGCTGTAGCTGTGAGGCATGAACGCTGTGGCTGTGAGGCATGAACGCTGAAACTACAATGCATGCGAGTTTTTATAATACTCGAAATCCTGGTTTAAATTGAGATTTTGAATAATAAATTGCACAGAATAAGTTTCAATTGTAAATTGCATCTTTTGAAGTATAAGAAACTATCACTTTTGTTTAAAATTGTAATAAAGACACAAATTATCAATCGAGACATAAAAACCTATCGGTAATGTTAATGAATGCATTACTGGTGCAGGCCTGATCATTTCCCCCGGGGCGCTGGAGGGCAGCGTTGAGTTCCGTGACGTGCACTTCAGCTACCCGACGCGGCCTCAGGCGCCCATATTCCGGGGCCTCAACCTGCTGGTGCCTGCAGGTTGGTGGTCTGTGCCTGCTGGTGCCTGCAGGTTGGTGGTCTGTGCCTGCTGGTGCCTGCAGGTTGGTGGTCTGTGCCTGCTGGTGCCTGCAGGTTGGTGGTCTGTGCCTGCTGGTGCCTGCAGGTTGGTGGACTGTGCCTGCTGGTGCCTGCAGGTTGGTGGTCTGTGCCTGCTGGTGCCTGCAGGTTGGTGGACTGTGCCTGCTGGTGCCTGCAGGTTGG